TCTCTAAACTAGGGTCCCTTCCTAAACCCTACCCCTAAACTCTAAACCTAAACCCTAAACTCTAAACCCTAAACCCTAAACTCTAAACCCTCAACCCTAAACCCTGAACCCTAAACCCTGAACCCTACCCTCAGGAGCCCTCGCTGAACCCTGCGCCCTCACCCCTAAACCCAAGACCCTCATCCCTCAACCCTGAACCCTCATCCCTCAAGCCTAAAACCTAGCCCCTAGGAGTCCCTGAACCCTATAATCTCAAAAACCTCTATAAACCCTAATCCCGCAACCCCTGATCCCTAACCTCAAACCCTAGTCCCTAAAGCCTAAACCCAAAGCCCTGAACTCTAATCCCTAAGCCCTAAGCCCCAAAATCCCTCAACCCCGAAGCCCGTAAACTCTAATCCCCAAACCCTTAGCCCCATAATCCCTAAACACCCAAGCCGGAACCTCATTATCCCTAAACCCCAAAGCCTAAACCCTAACATCCCTAAACCCTGATCCCTATAATCCCTAAACCCCCAAACCTAAACACTAACATCCTTAAACCCTATAAGCCCTAAACCATATACCCCCTAAACCCTGATCCATATAATCCCTACACCCCAAAGCCTAAACCCTAACATCCCTAAACCCCAAAGCCTAAACCCTAACATCCCTAAACCCTGATCCCTAATCCCCAACCCCGAAGATGAGCCTCGCCGAGCCTAAGGTGATAGATCACCAGGTTGAGCCGAGCCTCTGAGGTCTGGCTTCCTTTAAAAAAAGCTTTAGGGTTTAGAGTTTAGGGTTGAGGGTTTAGGGTTTAGATTTTAGGGTTTAGGGTTTAAAGTTTGGGTTGAGGGCCAGGGTTTATAAGGTTTAGGGTTTGCATTTTAGGGTTTTGGGTCTGACGAGGGTTTAGGGTTTAGGGCTTCGGGGCTTAGGGTTGAGGGAAGGGGGGGGGCTCGATTATGGAACCCTAGAGTACTCCTTGAAACGGGACCCCAGTGACCCTATTGCAGAAACCCTTCGGTGACCTTCAAGGCTTCAAGGGTTCACCCTTGGGGTCCTGTCACCTTGGGGAATCCTAAAACGTGGGATTTCTGTGACCAAAGATCCCTCAAAAACTATATAGGGGAGGGTTTACGGGCCCCCTACACCGCTCTTACTCTAATCTAAGGACTTTAGGAGGGACCCCTAATATGGACCCTTGATCCCATTACCTTAAATAACCATTGTATAGCCCTTATATACCCCTTATATAGCCAGGAAGTCTTCATATTAACCCCAATAACCTACAAGGGTCCCTATGAAGGGTCCCTCCTAAAGCCCTTAGATCTAAGGGTTCCATGATCCTCAACCCTAAACCCTGAACCCTCAACCCTCTTTGGGTTACTACACCGCTCTTATTCTGAGGGTTCTATGATCCTCAACCCTAAACCCTAAACCCTGAACCCTGAACCCTAAGCCAGCGGGCCACATCAAGCATCCCTCTGCAGCTTAATAAGGCTTGTTACACTATATACTTTATCTGGGCTTTGAAGTAACGAGGGAGAAAAAAGTATGGACTTGTATTTTATAATGGTTCCTTTAAGGAACAGGTCCCAAACAAAAAGTAATCAAGTATGGTACCCCAAAGCCCAGAAAATCGTGTATCAGACCCTTGCATCATAGCTTGAAGCTGCTGAGGCTGTGAAACCATAATAAGGATGGTCTTTTGGGGCCTAACTTCATAATAGCAGTATACATCGGTTGTGGGTACTTTATTGCTTCATCAACAGGTTTTGGAACTTCTGGAATGTACCCTTCTAGGAGCCTTGATTATTACAAACAAGACCACGCCGACCAAGGAGTCCTAATGATATAGGGGCCTAAATAATTACCTCTACTCTTTTGGGGTGGTTCTTATTATAATTATGGCGTAGTATACCCCAAAAACCCTATCCTAATAAAAAAAAAAAAGGCCCCTACATTACCTGGCCTCTGGTACAATGTCCAAGAGTGGTGGCAGAACTTGAATCGCATTCTCGCCATTTCCTTGTGCGAGCTCGCCGTCTCAGGGGTTGTTAGGGCTTCGGGCTTCGGGTTCAGGGGTTAGGGGTTTAGGGGTTGAG